CCAAGTCATTACTATTCTGAGAATTCCATGAGTTTCATTTTCTAGGACAGTGGCTACTAGGTGGAAAATATGCTAAGACCCAAATTACTATCTTTATTTCCCCTTCACTCTAATTTTAACCAGAGGTCATTCTCATTAAAAAGCCTCTGGGGTCTTTGATAAATGTAACTTGTACACTCGCTGAGAGCTCCTTGGCCCCATCCTGTGGCTGCAGGCATGCCAGTCACCCAGCTGCTCCCAATTAACATTCCATCCGCTTCGCTGTCAGTGTGGGTTAGGCTTGATTGAGTCACAGGTACGGTCTGCTTGGCAGCATTTTTATCTCACGGTGTGTTTACTGTAGGCGCATTAGAATCCTTACTGAAGTTGCACTCAAAAACAAAAACATTTATTGAGCACTCATTATATGAAAGGCACTATAAGTTTGACCTCATTCCAATGACATAGACTCCTTGTTCTAATTAGTGTTGGCTCAACTAATTTTTATAAAAGAGATTATTAAACAATTTTTCTAGGTGAGACCAAGAATAATCTTTTGGCCCTTGTTGGGAAAGTACATGAATGAGAGAAAGAAAAGGGGGAGGAAAGGAACGGAGGGGAAAGAAATAAAACAAAGAAAGAAAAGAAACATAACAATAAAGAGGCAAGAATGTAAAAAGAAATAAAAAGGCCAAGGACAAGTGAGAAAAAAAATAGAATGACAAAAAATGGAATAGTGAAAATGAATAAAAACAAGAAAGTCAACAGAGTAGACAGAGAGGGACAGAGAGGGGAAAAGTAAAAAGAAAAAAATCAATAATGAAAGGAAGCAAACTATTTCTATTTCTTTCAATATGCTGAATTAAATAGCCAGCAATTTTCTCGTAGTACAGTACACTTCAAAATATCAGATAAAAGGCATATGTTATGTATGTTTTATATACAGTAGGAGGTCTTTACAGATGTACAGCCAACTAATGACCCACAAAAACTCTGATCTTATTCCCTTAAACCCAGTTAGAGTATCTTTCAATTCCAGTGAGTAAGCAATCCCTCGAGTCATTAAATAAATAGTTTATGTGGCAAGAAAGTTAGGAAAATCCTCAGAGGCCCCAAATCACAAGAAAGCATGAATTGAGAGGGTGAGCCAGCACTGAAGTCAAAGGTTGCAGTAAAAATATTTGTCAATCCCTGGCGGCCTATGGGAAAAAGGGGCACAGGAGAAGAAGCACAGCGCCCACGCAGGGAGAGTCAGGTCAGATCCCCCACATAAAGCAAGACCCCTGCAGGGTAACACTCTTAGTGGGCAAAATGGAAAACAAAGAAACAAAAGCCCCATTGAAAGAAATTTGCCTATCTCAGACTTGCCTCAGAGAGAGGAAATAAAATTTCTCTCCTGAAATTTCTAAAATCATAGCATGGAGTTAAATTTCTATTGGGTTCAAAAAACTTTTTTCTTTTTTGGTTAATCCTCACCCGAGGATATTTTCCCATTGATTTTTAGAGAGAGTGAAAAGGAGAGGAAGAGACAGAGAGAAACATCCATATGACAGAGACACATCGACTGGTTGCCTCCTGCACAGCACCCTGACCAGGTTCATGCCCTTGACCCAATTAAACCCAGAACCCTTCAATCCATGGGTTGACGCTCTATCCACTGAGCCAAATCGGCTAAGGCCAAAATCTTTTTTTTTTTTTTTTCTTTTCTTTTTTTTTTTTTCATTTAAAGGGTTCTCAGGTTGTAAAGGCCCTATACATGCTGCAGAAGCAAACGGAGTTCTTTGCTGGTAGCACGCTTTAATTAAACCAGGATTCAGTGAATTTCAAGAATAAAGTTTCAAAGCAGTTGAGTTCCCCTTAAAAAAATGTCACCAAACTTGACAAAAGAATATACTTTAGAATTATACTTACAAAAACTGGATATATTAGAATAATTTTTTAAAATAAATATAAAGTATCTTTGCTTAAAATTCTTTAAAACTATCAAAAATATGTCAAAGAATGAGTTTATCAAAAATAGCAAGAAATCATTTCTTGAAAAGCACATAAAATGTTTAGAAATTAAAATTAGAAATTCAATGACAGATGAAACAGCAGATCAGATGCAGCTGAAAAGAGACTTTGCAAAGTGAATAATAGGGCTAAAGAAATAACTGCAATGCAAGTCAATAGATACAGACATAAAAATTGTGAAATAGAACATGGATTGAGAAGTTTGAACTACAGTTAATCAGAGTCCTAGTGAAGGAGGTAATAGGGAGAGGCAATATTTTGAAGAGATTATAGCTGAGATTTCCAGAATCTATTAAACTCATGAATCTTCAGATCCAGGAACTATAGTGAACCCCAAGCAAAATAGATACAAACAAATCTTCACTAGACATATTGTAATGAGACAGTAAAACATCAAGTTAAAAAGATGATGATCTTAAAAGTACACTATACTTCCCCACAAGCACCCCCCTAAAAAGGGCAGCCAAGGAGTAAACCAACAGATTATTTTCAAGGAAACATCAATTAGACAAAAGCTGATTTCTCATGAACAAGAAAAGCACGACAATGGGATAATGTCTCAAAGCACTGAATGAAATTGTCAATTTATAAATCAGTACCAGCAATGTTGTCTAGTAACATTGAAGTAAAAAATAAATTTTTAAAAAAATTTTCAGACAAACTAAAAGAATTACTTCCAATATTTACCAAAGGAACTTCTACAGCAAAAAAGAAAAGAGTCTCAAAAGGAAAGTCTGAAATATAAGAGGAAATACTAGTGAGAAAAATAATAAGAATTTGGATAAATCTCAACAAACAATAACTGCATAAAACAAAAATGATATATAACTTGTGGGATTACTTTTTAAGTGAACTAAAATTCTGCACAACAAAAGCATAAAATATAAATGCTGAAAGTAGAAGGATAAAAATGATATACCAGTCAAATACTAATGAAAAAAAATCTGGCATTGTTATATTAACTTTAAATGGAAGGTGAACACTTTACCAAAGATAATGAAGGCCACTAGGCAGATTTTTTTTTTTTTATGTTTTAGTAAACCAAGAAGGAATATTAATTCTAAATGTATGTGAACATAAGACAGCTTCAAAAATATATAAAGAAATTTTGAGACCACCACAAGGACATATTGATGAATTCACTGTCTCTGTGAGAGATTTCACATACCTCTTAAAATAACTGACAGATTGAGTGAACAAGAAATTGTAAGGACATAGAAAATTTAAACAAACACATTTGTCAAGCTTAATCAAATGACCACATATAAAACAGGGGCCTCCAAAATAGATAACATACATTATTTTAAAACACACAAGGAACATTTGAAAGGAAATGGGAAGATACTGAGTATAACTCAATGCTGACAGAAAAAGTAAAGAAATCATTGACTCCTCTTCCTGGGTCCTAATCCTTACTTAAATAGTAACCTGTAGCCATTCTCAGAAAAAATGAAACTCCTTCATAGAATCTCAGGCACTTCAGAGTTGCGTACTCCAATCCTTATGCCTAATTGAAAAGTCTCGACAACCTTCCCTCAAGCCTTAACCTAGCTTCTGTTTAAATGTATCCATGATGCCCGGCCAGCCTGGCTCAGTGGCTGAGAATCGACTGATCTATAACCAGGAGGTCAAGGTTTAATTCTCGGTCAGGGCACATGCCTGGGTTGCAAGCTCAATCCTCAGTGTGGGGTGTGCAGGAGGCAGCCGATCAATGATTCTCTCTCATCATTAATGTTTCTGTCTATCTCTCCCCTCTTGCTTCCTCTCTGAAATCAATAAAAAAAATATATTTAAAAAATAAAATAAAATGAATAAATAAATGTATCCATGATGGGGAACTGTGGTGTGCCTGGGCAGCAATGCCATGCCCAGCCCCTCCCAGCCTTTAACCAGTTACCATGCCTGCAAGCAAGTCATTTTTTTCACAGCAGCAATTCAACTATACCTCTGAGATAACTAGTAATTACCTTAGAGTCTGTCATAAGATGAGTCTGGTAATGATGTAAAAAATTCTACCCAGAATCCAAATGTTATACCTAGGTGACAGGGCTTACTGAAAGCAGTTTTATAACCAGGCAAGGCAATTATGTGGAGTGTCAGCACAATGTGGTTAGGCTTTGTAAGTCCTATTCACAGCTTCCTACAACCTGGACTAGCAAAATACATACACATCTCCCATTAAGAGTTTTAAAATTTGTAATAAAAAATATATATAATAAAATCCTGCCCCATCTTTCCCTACTTCCAATTCTTGTCCTCCAGTGGCAATAACTTTCAATTTCTTTGTCTGTGTTTTCTAGAATTTATTTCAAAATTCTTAATAATGTGTTATGTTAATTTCTCTTAAATTTTTTAATTTTATGTTTTATTTCCACTATCTATATATAGAAAAGCCTAAGTGACTGACCAACCGGTGGACTGGTCACTATGATGTGCACTGACCACCAGGGAGAAGCTGCCCCCTGGTGGTCAGTGTGCTCCCCCAGCCAACCTCCTGCAGCTGTTCAACCTCCCATGGTCCCTCCCCAGCTGGCCAGCCCCGATTGGCCCCAATCGCCGGCCTGGCCGAGGGACCCCAGCCGTGCACAAATTCATGCACCTGGCCTCTAGTATAAAATAAAAATTTAACTCTTACATATCCTGCTTGTATGTATGTGTGTGTGTATAGATATATATAGATAGATAGATATAGATAGATAGATAGATCCCTGATAATCTCAATATAGCTTTCTGCTCTTTTTGCTTAAATCAGTATAAAGTACTTACATTATTATAATAAAATTAATATTATTCAGGAATGAGCCTATAGTATACAATGATAAGGTTTCTTTCCATGTGCAACTTTTTTTTCCTAGAGGAAATACTGCCTTTTTATTTCCTCAACTTTTTATATACTTGTCTCTTATTATTTTATCCACAATTCTTCAGCTGAACTAAAAATATTCTCTCAAGTTCAAACTCTATAAGGTATTCTATAAGTTTCCTTTTTCTTTGAGAACTCACTCTCTTGGGTATCTCCATCCTTCTGATTGCACTGTAGATCTCTTGTACTGTTAGGACTTCTCTTCACAGTCATCCTGGGAATTTCCTTCCTTTTCCACTGTGTTCTATTGGATCCTTGTTCCCTGGATCCTATGTTTTCCACATTTCTTTGTTTGTCACCTTGTTTTGGCAATGCACATCCCATAATTGTCTCCTAAAAAATGAGTAAATTTTAAAAGATATTGCAATGTACATCTTATTGACAGGGTGAGTTTTGAATTATGAACTGAAAATCTTTCCCATCAGAATTTTAAAGGCACTGACTTCTAATTTTGTCAACTGCCATAAAGAAGTCTCATGCTCTCTGATTATTGATTCTTACTCTGTGACCTCTTTTTCAAAAATATGTTTTTATTGTTTTTTAGATAGAGAGGAAGGGAGAGGCAGAGAGAGAGAAACTTTGATCGGCTGCCTCCTGCATACCCACCACTGGGACTGAGCCCACAACCTGGGCATGTGTCCTGACTGGGAATTAAATAGGGGACCTCTTGGTCTATGGGACAGTGCTCAATCTACTGAGCCACACGGGCCAGGTTCTGTGACCTCTTTTTATGTGAGCATTTATGTGAAAATTCAAAAACAATGTATGTCAAATAATAGATGTTATTAATTTTTGTATCTTCATATAATTTAGCCATTAGAAATTATATTTTAGAAAAATATTTAATGTCTTAATAAAATAACCAAAATAGAAAAGATAACATATTAATGTTTTAAAATACTGAAAGATAACTCACCAAAGTATTAAAAGTGGCACTGCTGTATGATACAATTTTGAGTTCCCTTTTTTAGTAACTTCTTGTTATAGACTAATGTATGGTTGTGTCCCCTGACCCCGAATACAAAATTGAAGCCCTAAGCTCACAATGTGATTATATTTGTAGCTGGGGTCTCGGGAGGTAATTAGGTATAGATGAGGTTTTGGGGGTGCAGCTCCCATGATGGACTTCGTGTCCTTAGAAGAAGAGGTAAAGACACAAGAGCACAGTTCTCAAGGCCATGAGAACATGAGAGAAGGCAGCTGTCTGCAAACCAAGAAAAGAATTCTCACCAGGATCCAAATATGCCAGCACCTTAATCTTGACTTCTCAGTCTCCAGAACTGTGAGAAATAAATGTCTCTTGTTTAAGCCACCTTGATATAGTAACTGAAGCTGACTAAGACACTTCTATACTAAAAAAGTGTATGGGACCTCTTTTTTACTATGTGTATATTTGGGTTTAAAAAAGTGTCCTAATGCCATGTTAAAAATCCTCTTTCAACCAGTAATAAATATCATTATTACTCTGGAAAAATCAGTAAAGGAGCATATTAACATAAATATTTACAATTATAATTTTAATCTCCTCTTTCCAACATCTTATAATAAACATTTTCAACACATAGCAAAGTTAAAAAAACTTGTCAGTAAACAACTGTATTTCTACTGCCTGGATTATAGCAATAACATTTTGCTATATGTGTTTTATCACATATCTATCCATCTATCCATTCCTCTAGCCATACATTAATCTCTCTTACTTTTTATGTATTTCAAAATGAATGTTTCAGTATGCATATTATTAACTCGAGTTCAATATTATTTGTAGTAATTTTCTTTAGAGGTAATTTTTATATAAAGTAAAATGTACAAATATGAGATATAAGTTCACTGAGTTTTAGTAAATGCATATATCTGTGTAACTCAAACTGCTATCAAGATATATAACTGTATGACTCCATGTAAAATGTAACACTCTTTCAACCATATAGGTCCACTTATCAGCCACCTCCAGCCTTTATGCTATAATTGTATACATCTATATACATCTATATACATTATAAACTCATGAGACAATGTTACAAGTGTTCCTTTAAACTGTCACATATTTTAAAGAAATTAAGAGAAAAGTAATATTTTATTTTTACTAGTTCAGATGCTCTTTCTTCCTTTTTCCCTACTTCTCTCCCTCCCTCTCTCTCTTCCTTCTTTCTAAAGAACCAGGTTTCCATCTGGCCTTATTTTCCATCAGCCTGAACTTCATTTAACATATCTTTAGTGTAGTTCTGTTTAAGACAAGTTCTCTGAATTTTCTTTTATCTGAAAATATCTTTATTTGCCTCCATTTCTTAAAAAATATTTTTGTTGATATAAAAATTTTAATATAGTTTTGGGCAAACAGGTTTTTTTCTCTCTTTCTTATAGTTCTTTAAAGATGTTGGGTAGCTGTCTTCTCTCTTCATTGTTTCTGAGAATTTTTAATATCAAAGTATTAAAAGTGGCACTGCTGTATAAAATTTGAACTCATTCAAATTATTGTACCCTTATATGTAATGCATTGCTTTATTTTTTTTTCCTGGCTGCTATCTAGATTTACTCTTTATTCTTAATTTTAAGCAATTTGACTATACTCTGATTTTGGGTTTGCTAAGCTTTTATAAACTGTAAACTTGTAATTTACACAAAATTGGGGTATTTTGGACATTATTTCTTAAAATGTTTCTTTGTGCTGTATTTGCTTTTTCTTCTTACTTCTGAGCCTCCAATTATACATATGTTAAGTGTTTTGATATTGTACCACAAATCCATGAGGTACTATTTCTTTATTTTTAAAGTGTTTTTGCTCACTGTACTTTGGATTAGATAATTCTGTTGATTTATCTTCAAGTTCAGTGGTTCTTTCTCTGTCATCTCCTTTCGGCTCTTAAATGGTTCTTTCCTCTGTCTCCTCCTTTCTGTTGTTAAATGTTATATTTCATGTAATTTAATTTTTAGTTCAAGAATTTGTTTGGTTCTTTTCATGGTTTATTTTCTTGCTGAAATTTCCTGTCTTTTCATTTATTTTAAGCATATTTTCCTTTACATAATTGTACATAGTTATAATAACTGCTTTAAAATCCTTTCATAATTACAAAAGCTGGGTCATATCAGGTTTCATCTTTTTTGATTGTCATTCTTCTCAAGAATAGATATTTTTTTGTTTCTATTATGTTAAATAAATTTGGATTGTATTCTTGATATTGTGAACCTTATCTAGAGAGACTCTGGAATAGGTTACATTCCTCTGAAGAATATTACTTTTTGTTTTGTTTTTTGTTGTTGTTTTGGTTTGGTTTAGCAGATAACTAACTTAGCTGAATTTAAACTGCAAGTTTTTGTCTCTTGGGCACTAGCCCAAATCTGTTATTTTATCCTGAGCTAAGCTACTTAAAATCTGACCCACCCATAAGGAGTTCAGGGATCAGTACAAGTTTTAGCAAAAATTTGTACACAGAATTTTTGGTTCCTCTCTTAGGATTTGTCATTGCCAGAATTCCTCCCTCACTTCCCAGGGGCCATGATTGCCTTAAGCTCTGCTCTCTGATCCTTCAGGCCAGAAAGACTATTGGTTTTCTACAGGTATTTTAGCTGCCACATGTATTCAACTGTAAAAAAAAAAAAGACAAAGAAAACTCACCCTTAACCATTTCCCTCTTCCAAACCAATCCTCTCCATAATCTGTTTAACTTTGTTCAGCCTCCTTGCTTCCAGGAAGTCTTTGTTCGTTTGTTCTCCTATTGTTTATAGTTGTTATCTCTGGGATGACCATTCTAAAAGTAATCAGTTACTTTCATAATTAAGAAAATTATTTTTTATTATATTAATATCCTATATAATAAAACCCTATTATGCAAATCGACCAAATGCTGGAATGACCAGCCGAACGGCCAGTCACTATGACATGCACTGACCACCAGGGGGCAGATGCTCAATGTAGGAGCTTCCCCCTGGTGGTCAGTGTGCTCACATAGTGGAAGCACCGCTCAGCCAGAAGCCAGGCTCACAGCTGGCGAGCGCAGTGGCAGTAAGGAGCAAGGGGTCCTGGACTGAGAGAGCCCCAACTGCAAGAGGGATGTCTGACTGCCGGCTTAGGCCCAATACCCCTGGGGGGATCGGGCCTAAGCCAGCAGACAGACATCCCCCAAGGGGTCCCCAACTGAGAGAGGGTGCAGGCCAGGCTGAGAGACCTCCCCAGTCCTCGATTTTCATGCACCAGGCCTCTAGTTGTATCATAAGCAAAAACTTTACATTTATATAGAGAGCAATGGGAAGTAGACTTTGGAGAATGATAGTAAAAGTTTTAGGAGAATGAAACAGAGCTAAAAATTACACAGCAATAATTCAGATTGTAAAATAGGAAAGTCTCTAAGACAAAGGACACCTCTGAGCAGGTATTGCACCCATCAACATTAGCAAGGAGAAAGGCAAACCAGAGCTTACCTGGTCAGTATTTTCATCTCTAGGTATTCTTGTTAACAGTTACTCTTCCCTTCCTGGTGTAAGCCCCTCTCGTCCCAGAGTTTGATTTCCAACTTCCTCCAAAGCATAAGTCTCTCCTCAGCTGATGAGCATCTGAGTGGACATCTGTAAGCTTCCTAGTTCCATGGAAACCATAAATTTATATGGACAATGTCATCATTTGTGGTGAGAAGATCTGATTGAAACCAACTATGTGATATTGAGTAAGTCATTTCCCCTTTCTGCCTTAATTTCTTCACTTACAAAATGAGCAGTAAACTAACAGAACTTCAAGTTCAATTTTTTTTATCTTTAAATTCAGCAGAATTGGACAGAAGTTCTATAAAACATAAATATGCTTTAAATATATTTTAAAATTATTTTTTCCTCTAAAATCTGCTATCCTATATAAAAAGCCACTAGAGGGGAGTAAAACATTAGATGAGGACATACCACAATTCAACTTGGGCATCTTGTATAAACTGTATTTGCAACTGTTGCCTAATGTGTGTTTCAAATCAATCATATTTGATTGCTTTAAAATACAAAGATGTGAGGGCATCACCGTTTCCGTGTGGAAATCTTCCACTTTGTGGAATACAGCCTTAAGCCTTATACTCTTTAAAGTCACTGGCTAATGGAACAAGACCAGTTCCTTATAACAAGTATGCCCATCCCATTTCTAGTTTTCTATTTATTTACAGCTGAGTTACAGCAACCAAAAAGATTCCCTAATCCTTAGTTCAGAAGAGATGTTTCGTTCTGACAACTAATTCTTACTGAAAGGCAGGAGCAACGCCAGTGTGCCCAGCCCTTGAGTAGTTCCATGTTTAAAGAGACCTCAGAACCTTGTCTGCGTTCCAAGTTCTTTGCACCCAAAGGCTGAAAAAAAGATTCCTTAGGTGGGATTTCTCTCATGTTAAGATGATTAGAGACCCCTGGCCCAGTAGTTTAATACTTTTACTTCAAAGAAATACAATCTTAATATAATTTTCCCATCTTCTTCTCTTTCAAAGTTAGGTTTTAAAAGGAGGTCTGAGCCTCTGGTTCTTATTCACAGGGAACCAGCCTCAGAGGAAAGGAAGGAGGAACAGAAGCAAAAACAGCAAGATGGTGCCCTAGTGGGGCTCCACTGGAAAATCAGGCAGAGGACCAGGGATTTACATTCTTCTTCTTTGAATTCTACTTCAGGGGTGGGAGGTGTCTTAATTTCTTAGTTTCCCAGTAGTTGTAGAGAGAGCATTAATTTTGGAGTCAGTTGGACAGATCCTAGATTGATGAACTGACTTCTGTGTGACCTGGAGCTATTTACATAACCTTTTCTGCACAATATGTGAAGCAGGACTCTTGGTTACAATGAACATTAATCAAATTCAAATTAGGCTTTCTATATAGACAATGTCATCAGGTCTCTCTCTCTCTCTCTCTCTCTCTCTCTCCTTTTTCTCTCCCTCTGTTTTTCTCTATATTTTGATTCTAGAGTCCCTGAATTTCATTCTAATAGCATACTGCCTACTTTATTTGGCCAATGGAAGAGGATCTAAAAAAATGACATCCACCCCTGAAAGAGTTTTTCTTTCGACAGCTATATATACAATCCTAGAGACAGGCTGATTGCCTAGCTTGAGTCTTGTGCCAATCTCTGTGCTAACTCATGTCCCTAAGATTAATCAATACATTAATCATGTAGCCACTAAGATTAATAACTAGGGTTGCCAGATAAAATAAAGGATTCCTTACTAAATCTGAATATTAGATGAACAAATAATTTTTTTAACATAAGTCCCATGTAATTTCGGACATCCTATCTAATAAAGATGAAATATGCTAATTGACCCTCACACCATTGCAAAAATGGAGGAGCCCACAGCCAATAAGGAGGGAATATGCTAATTGACTGCCCTGCCCTCAAAGATGGTGGCACCTATAGCCAATAAGGAGGGAATATGCTAATTGACTACCATGCCCTCAAAGATGGCGGCGCCCTCAGCCACAAGATGGCCAGCAGGGGAGGGCAGTTGGGGGCAACCAGGCCTGCAGGGGAGGGCAGTTTGGGGCAACCGGGCTGGCAGGGTAGGGCAGTTGGGGGTGACCGGGCCTGCAGGGGAGGGCAGTTGTGGGTGACTGGGCTGGTAGGGGAGGGCAGTTGGGGGTGACTGGGCTGGCAGGGGAGTGGTTAGGGGGTGATCAGGCTGGCAGGCAGAAGCGGTTAGGGGCAATCAAGCAGGCAGGCAGGCAAGCGGTTGGGAGCCAGCAGTCCCGGATTGTGAGAGGGATGTCCCCCAAGGGGTCCCAGATTGGAGAGGGTGCAGGCTGGGCTGAGGGACAACCCCTCAGCAGTGCACAAATTTCATGCACTGGGCCTCTAGTACTTACACTAAAGGGGTATTTGCTGTTTACCAGAAATGCACATTTAAATTCTAATAGCCCCATGTGTTATTTAGGGCATTCTTATCTGACCTGCATGTGAGCTAATGTAGGACTGTTTAGGAGCTCACATGTATAAGTTTCTGCTTGACATTCTGATGCCTACATGGTTTGTACCCCATCCACAGAACACTGCCAACATCCTGGGACCTACACTCCCTTTGCATATTGTTCGAGAGAGCAGTTGAGTGTGCTATCTTGCACTGCTGATGCTTGAAGAGGCTTCTGTGAACCAGTTTTCAGTGATTACATATAACTGCACAGTCCCCACTAGAAGGTCACCCCACACTTCAGTTATAAATATCTGTAGAGGACCACCCCATGCTTGTAAGTGACTGATCTTTTTTATCCAGTTTTCACTATTTTCAGGTTCTCGTTATTTTGTAGCATTAGAAAAGTATGACAATCTATTGTTCATATGCTTGCTTTAATTTGTTTATGTAACAGTAAGGTACAGAACAGTAGGTATAACCAGCTACCACTTAGAATAGAGGCTATTTGCATACACATCCCTGGGTACATAGACTCGGAGTAATCAATTCTGCTTCAAAGATGGAGAACGAGGGGCCTGGGAATCAAAGCTGGGAAAGAAGCTTTTCACTGTACATCTTCTTGCAATGTTAAACTTAACATCTATAAGTCTAGCTTACCATTCATGTGTAACTTACCATTAGTTTTTAAAACAATATAAACTCAGTTATGAACAATTTTCACATATAGATCGATCATTCTGTCTGCGGCACCTACAACACAACTCTGCACAGAGCAGCCAGCCACTGCTGTCCTCATCTCCTTCCTAAGCCTCTCCAGAGCCCAGCCAGCTGGGACCTCAGTGAGATACTCCACTTGCCCCTATTCCTCCTCAGCAAGCACGTAACTGTGCCTGTTAACTGCATGGGCTGTAGTGACCACGCTCACCATTGGTACAACCACCTATGCATTGTGGGAAAAGAAGAAAACCCAATAAGACATAGAACCAACATTTCCCAACTAACATTAATGAAAACTCCAGAGCAAAACAAATACATTTGGACCCATTTATATGCTTAAGATGTGAATCTTGATTAAGAAAACAAAACCACACCCACCACGAGGAAGCAGTACATATGAGATACAGCATGGAGGGGGCTGTCTTTCTCTTTTTTCACCAATAGAAACTCGCATATAGGTTTGGCCTTAAACAATGATCTGTGGTCTCTAGAATTGTGGCAATAGAGGGGAACCCACATCCACATCAACTAAGTGTTTTAAAAAACCCACAGCGAAGCTTTGTGTGATGACAAAGCCACGAATACAAATGAGAGATTTGCCAGCTGGAGCCATGGGGAAAGGGCTCCTCATGGTGAAGCTACTACGTGTCTTGAGAAAACAACCAGCATGTGTTGCAGGCCCAGTGGAATGTGTTTAATAAGTTGCACATTTGTCATTGTAGGTCAGTTCTTTGGATGCCAGAAGACATAACTTCTCGTTATATAATCAAATATCTGTCCCTGCTGGAAAATGAGAGCTCAAGAACGTCCATCACTCGGCTGTTTCCAAAAGCCTTTCTCTGGCCAGTTGGGTGTTCCGCATTCCGTGCGGAGCCCATCATAGGGGAGGTTTTGAAAGCTATGTCTGGCCTTGGGCTTTGGCTCCTCTGCCACTCATCTTTGCACCTACTCAGGGAGACTGGCCTGGCCTCTCTATATAGGCTGATGGGAAGGGGGAGGAGAGCAGCAAGGTGGAAAGTCAGAGGATTCCAGATTTTCAAGTTGCAGGTTTCTATATATTTGGCCATAGATTTTGTCAGCTACGGCAACATCTTAATTACTCTGAAGGACTTAGGAAACAAAACATTTCATTTTTTGAGATCTTTTTTTCATCTTACAGTGCCCATACCCATATGTGTTTGGCTCTAAAATCTGAGCCCTAGCCGGTAGCTCAGTTGGATAGAGCGTATCCCCCATATGCCAAGATTGCGAGTCCGATCTACGGTAAGGGCACATACAAGAATCAATCAATGAATGCATAAAGAAGTGGAATAACAAATCGATGTTTCTCTTACTCTCTCTAAAAATTCAATTAAAAAATAAATAGCATAAAATGTTTGAAGAATTCTTCCCAGAACAACAAGACTTTTCGTTTCTCCTAAGGAAACCAATATCTTCTTTTGTCTGTTTTTGCTTCCGTTTGGGCAAATACACGTAAATAATTAGATTTGCTCCAGAGAAAAGACCTTTGCGAGTAAACTTCCTACAGTATTTATTCAGGTGACTTGAAGAAGATAATTTGCTTCCAATAGGTAAGACATCGAGGAAGTGGGTCTCACCACCAATCTAGAAGTTACAGATTTGTCATTATAGGTCAGTTCTCCTTCCCAGTGAGGAAGGACACACAGTTAGGAAGGAACATTTTCCAGAAGCCCTCCAGCCCTTTCCTTGTATCAGTGTCCCACAAAACTGAGTCCTATGCCCACCCCTAAACCAATCCTGGCAGCTGGAATTGGGGCCAGGACACTGTGATTAGCTCATGCCAACCAGGAGTCAGCTCTGGAGGCGGGACTGAGTCATGAGGGAAGGAACAGACACCCCCACCTCCTTGCTCTGCCAACAAGAAGTAGGTAATCATGTTGGGTACACAACCAACAGTGTCAGTCACATAACCCCAACCTTTCAGTTGTGGGGTCTAGGTTCACTGGTAAGTGATGGAATAAAAATCTGAACCT